GGACGGCCGCCAGTTTCAGATCATCGGCGGTGATCTCCATTACTTCCGCATTCATCCCCAGGTACTTTTTTTCGTTAGTATAGATGTGAGATTTTTCTGAGTAATAATGCTAACTGTACTAGAGATTCTGTCTCTTGATTAAAAGATAAAGAATCACATATGGTGGTTGTTTGTCTCTCATAGCCTCCAAGTAGTACGAGGTTTGCAGTACATTTTTAGCGTTATTATTTCCTTTTTTGCTTATTTCTTGTCTTTAGAAAATTGGTCGATTTTTATAATTAAAAGTAAGCTGGGTTGATTATTATAATTAAACTTCAAATATGATTTTTTTTAAAAGATTGTCCTTTTGCAAATGATTGGTCAATTTTGCATGAGACTCTGGGGTTGCATTTGGCAACTGTAGTTGTTATCAGCTGTTGGCTGCCAATTTATACCCAGCTCACTGATATGATCGGTAATATAGTTTTTCTATTGAGGCAAGAAGCTTTTCCTCAGGGCCTGTTTGGATTCGTAGGGGTGAAGGGAAGTTAAGGGAAACTGCGTAAAGGAAAGGGAAGGGAAGGGAAGGGAATTCCCTTCCCCTTGGTTACACCCCAATTTGGGGGTAACAATTTTTATACTATTAGGGGGTGAACCAAGGTGAATTAACTTCACCTCCTAAGTGTTCCCAAACAAGATGAATGGAGGTGAATGGTTCCCCTAACTTCCCTTCACCCTCATTCCCCTCAATCCAAACAAGCCCTTAACCTGCATCTTTTGTGTCTATTTATGCAAAGCGATATCAGTTAACTATTGTCAACTATTTCGGTGGGGTTATGTTAGATACCTGACCATTACCTTAAAATGGAACAAAACTCAGATGATGATAATCTTTTTTTTTTCATGATTGGATTCGTTGAATCCAATTTATATTCTTTATGTTTGCATCGAACATCCGCTGGACGTCCTGCTTTTGGATGCATACAGTATTGGGAAGATAGACTTTTAAGAGCGAAGGCATTGGGATTGAATACTATTCAAACTTATGTGCCTTGGAATTTACATGAGCCGCTGCCTCAAAAATGGGTTTTTGAGGGTATGGCAGACATGGAAGCATTCCTCAAGCTTGCACATAAACTGGGGTTTCTTGTCATGCTTCGTCCGGGGCCATACATATGTGGAGGTGAGCGAATCACATAGTTTCTGCAATTTCCAATTATGAATGTCCTTGCTAATAGTTATGCAGGATGATAGCAAAATAAAGGCACGTAAAGGAAATTGACGAAGAGACTAAACCTGCTCTGAATTTTCATTTGTAATTATTTCTGATTTGGTACCTTAAGTATTCCGTTCTTCACTTGTTTCAGTTCTCATTTGCAGAATGGGATTTGGGAGGTTTTCCATCTTGGCTACTTTCTGTTGAACCAGCCATCAGGCTGCGGTCATCAGATCCTTCATTCCTTCAATTGGTACACATTTCTTCCCCCCATTAAAATAATTGCATTGATTAATCACACCCTTTGTGCTTTACTTGTGTCAGTAAACCACCTCAACAAAATCTTAAGCTAATAAGCTATGAATGTAAAGTGTATATCAACACTAATGTAAACGAATTTGTGGATAAAACTTCTGGTTACGAGCTACCGTGGTTGACCTTGTATTTATCACATAAAAAGTTGAGAAGTGTTCTTTTTCATAAGTATTCATAAGGGGGTTCATGATGTCCTCTTTAAGAAAGCTGCAATCCTTTTTTTTCTCTATTGTGCTGCAGTATATGAGTATCTTCAGGTACCAATGTTAGCCTTTCTGCTGTTATTTATCACTTAGTCTTCAGTTGAAAATGCAAATTTACAATATAGAGGATAGTTAATTCATATCACAATTTTATTTGGCAAAAACAGTGACTCATACACATGATACATCCGAGTAAGTGTTTTCATTTTGTCTTATGACAGTAGTGTGATCCCATTAGTTATTGACCTTTCAACTTATTATGTGCCGTTCATAGGTCGAAAGATGGTGGGGGATTTTACTTCCCAAAGTAGCTCCATTACTCTATGAAAATGGAGGTCCCGTAGTTATGGTTCAGGTAGGTAGCTTCTGTCATCATGCCATATTCAGACTAAATCGCTAATTTTAGCCATATAATTCCCTGTCAGTTTACAGTCTTTGTTATACCACTGCATGGATGTTCTAAACTTGCTTCTGCTAGGTCGAAAATGAGTTTGGATCATATGGAGATGACAAGGCATATCTTCATCAGCTTGTGGCTTTGGCTAGAAAACATCTTGGGGATGAAATAATATTGTATGTAATTCTCCATTATACTTCTCTTAGTTCATTGGCAAAATAGTGCACTATAAGTGGTCAGGATTCACATGAATACGAAAGTCTTAATATGACTGGATATAAATTTTCTTTGGTTAGGTATAAATCACTTTAGGATATGACAACCTCATATGAAATAAGATTTTAATCCACATGAGACCTTACCTGCCATGTGTTGGTGTGCCACCATAGTACTATGATTGCGGACACGTTGAAAACGTGACCTGTTTCACCAATTAGCAGTTTTCTATGACTATGATTTATGAATGCATAAACATTATATCATTTCCACAAAAAAAGAAAAGCGAAAATTCAGAAAAAGAAATATCTTCACTACTATTGAGCCTTTTCCCATTATAATGGGTCGATTTATGGAGCAAAACAAAGACAGTGAGAACTCCAATGAAGGATGCTTGACTAAATTCTATTACTAGGTATCATCTTAGTCACTCCGTCCTGTTCGAAGGCATTTCTGGATACAGGTGAAACTTACCATAACTCAAGTCAGACCTGCATGTTGGAAACCAACCGTTCAAGCAGTTAAGCTCATAGTGACATGGAGTAATCTTTTGATTTCTCGTAATTAAGAGTATACAGAAGGGGAAAAGCAATGTCCTTTGTTGGCCATTGCATCTGTTTTCCCAATATCAATGCAGGCCAAATGTACAAATAAAAAATACATTCCTATTCTATGCATATGAAGGTGGCTAGAAGAGACAGATATAGAATGCCAAGCAATTAAAGATTAACGGTCTGTAAAATGGTAAGAATAGAGTCATAGTCGTACTAAATAAAGAGCAAGGATAAATATATAGAAACTGTTACTAGTGGAAGAAAGAACAATGAAACATCACTGCAAAAAGATTTCAGCTATGAACCCCCCTCCCCAGAACATGGAGCATGTCTCCATGTTTCAGGGGGGCATCCCCAAAACATGGAGCATGTTTCGGGGGATGTTGTCTCTCTTTTCTCACTATAAATAGAGTGGAGGAGGAAGAGAGATTTGTGGTGTGGAGGAAAAGAGAGTGAGTGAGAAGTAAAAGAGTGGAGGAGGAAGAGAGATTTGTGGTGTGGAGGAAAAGAGAGTGAGTGAGAAGTAAAAGAAAAGAGAGAACTTATGAGTTGTAAGAGATTTGTGGTGTGGAGGAAAAGAGAGTGAGTGAGAAGTAAAAGAAAAGAGAGAACTTATGAGTTGTATAAGTTTGGTATTCTCCTCATAGTGAAACCCCCCTCTCGTGAACGTAGGCAAGTTTGCCGAACCACGTAAATCTCGTGTCTTAACTGTGAGTTGATTTTGTGCTTGTAGGTTCCCTCGACAAGTCAGTCCTAGAACTGATGAGAGGTTGAGTTGAAACAAGAGTTGACTATTGCTTGTAAATTCCCTCGACAAGTCAGTCTTAGAACTAATGAGAGGAAGAGTGTCTACCTCACTTTGTTAAGATATTTCACTTTATGTTCTTGTTTTCTTTGTAAAACATGAATATAGAGGTTGACTTGAGCGTTTGTGACAACAAAAACAGGGCTCTCTCTCTGGTGATATCGCTTCCGCGGCGTGAGGACGTGACTTTGCACTCAATAATTGGTATCAGAGCTGTTATTCAGATTAGGAATGGTGTAACTTCTGGTTTGAGGTGGTGCTCGGTAATTTTCTGAGAGAAACGGATTTATTAATACAAGCGAAGGATGACACCAACTAGCAAAACAGTTAAAATTGGAAAGTACGAGATCGAAAAGTTTAATGGGAAGAATGATTTTTTCCTATTGGAGGATGCAGATGAAAAATTTATTGATTTCGTAAAAATTGTACAAGACTTTGGCTGAAAAAGAGAAGAAACATAAGGATATGTCTGATGAGGATTAGGAGGAGTTGGATCTGGAAGCACAGACGACGATTTTCTTTTGTCTTGAAAGGGATGTAGTTTTCTTGATAGATGGAGAGGAAACAGCTACGGGCGTGTGGTCGAAGTTAGAAAGCACCTTCATGACGAATAGTCTAACGAACCGGATCTATTTAAAATCCAAATTGTATACTTGCAAGAGGAAGGAGGGCTCATCAATCCGGGAATACATCAACAAGTTTGATAAGATCATATCAGACTTAAAGGACATAGACGTGACAGTTGAAGACGAGGATCAGACGCTTCTACTACTTCTATCTTTGTCGAAGTCTTATGAGAACATGGTGCAAACACTGATGCTTGTGGGAGACAATTTGACGATGAATGAGACTAGAACGATGCTTCTAACGGATGACCTTCAGAAGATTGCAACCAGTGACATAACTACTGGTGGTAGCAAAGAACAAACGCAGGAATTGTTTGCTAGTGGAAGGGTCAATGAGCGAGGAAAAGACAAAGGAGAAAAGTCATGATCTAAATCAAGTCCTCTTGCGGGAAGATCGTGTTTCAAATACAGTAAAATTGGGCATTTCAAGATCGACTGTCCAAATAAGAAAGTAGGAGGGAAGAAGAACAACAAAACTAAGAGGAGAGAAGGTAAGGAAGAAGCGAGCTATGTTTCAGAGAAAGGGAGCAAGAAGGAATGTTATGTCGTCACGGATGGCGAGGATATCTCCGAGAAGTGGATTTTTGATTCATGTTGCTCTTACCACATGTGCCCAAATAAGAAGTGATTTACTACTTACAGAAGCATTGGTGGTGGAACCGTATTGATGGGAAACAACCATGCTTGTAAAACGATAGGACTAGGTAATATCAAGATCAAAATGCATGATGGAGTGGTTTGAATCTTGACGGATGTGAAGCATATTCCCGACTTGCGAAAGAATCTTATCTCAGTTGGTGCATTGGACTCCGGTGATTGCAGGATTGTTATAGAGAACGGAGTGAAGAAGGTTGTTCGGGGTTTCCTAGTAGTGATGAAAGGTGTTCGTCACGGTAATTTATACACTCTCAAGTACGACGATGACAGGAGATGCAACGGTTAAAACTGAAGGAAGTGGTGAAGACCCATATGAGCACACACGGTTATAACATAGGCGGCTTAGGCACATGTCAGAAAAGGGTCTGGATCTGTTTGGTAAGGAGGATTTGCTGAAGAATCTGAAAAAATCTTGTATGGATTTTTACAAGGATTATGTGTATGGTAAGATGCACATGGTCTAATTTTTGAAAAGCAATCACAAGAATAGAGGCATATCAGACTATGTGCTTACAGATGTGTGGGATCCGGCTCAGACAACTTCCAATGGTGGTTTCAGATATTTTGTCTCGTTCATAGATGATCATTCGAGGTATGCTTGGATTTATTTTCTTAAGCATAAGAATCATAGATGATCATTCGAGGTATGCTTGGATTTATTTTCTTAAGCATAAGAATGAGGTATTCGAGACATTTAAGAAGTGGAGGTATGCTTGGATTTATTTTCTTAAGCATAAGAATGAGGTATTCGAGACATTTAAGAAGTGGAAGGCGGTGGTTGAAAACATGACAGAAAAGAAATTAAAGACACTAAGATCTGATAACGGTACAGAATATACAGGTTGTGCTTTCAAGGAGTTCTGTGATCAAGAGGGCATTGCTAGACACTGGACAGTCAGATCCAATGTTACATTAAACGCTGGGCGTTTCTGGGCGCCGGACTTGGCGCCCAGCGCTTAGACGCCTAGGCGGGCGCCTAAGCGGTTTCTGGGCGGTTTTTTTCTTCTGGGCGGTTTTTCTTTTTTTAATTGTGATACTTGAAATATATATACTCAATCACAACGCATAAATATAAAAATACCAACACATATGCTATCCAAACTATAATAGTCAATCAAAGATGCATACATACTAAATGACAAGACATATAATATCCAATAACTAGAAGTTTATGTCCCAAAATATCAGCAAAAAGATAGTCAAACAGAAATAGTCTAGATGTAATATAATGAATTAGCAATATGCATCCAATAACTTACTATCTCTCTTAAACAGTTAAACATACAGAAAATTCAAGAGATTTAGGGACGTTACCTTTCCAATCAACACAGATTTTACCTTTCCAATCAATCAAGACAGGTTTCTCTTAAACACAAGCCAAAAAATCAAGCAACCCACACCTGGAAGCAACAGCCAACAGACACAAGTAAGCAACCCAATTTCCCTAAAAATTATCAACACAACCGAACCCAAGTTAATGAGAACCGAATCTGCTTAAGAGCACAGCCGAATCCAAAAGTTTGAAGTCGTGTTTTACTTACAGGTTGAAGATGAGAACGCAAGTCCAGCATGAGGATGAGATCGATGAGCTCGAAGTTGGAGATGAGAACGACGAGCTCGAAAATGAGCTCCCAGGTTGAAGACGAGCTCGAAAGTCCAGCACGAGGTTGAAGGCGAGCTCGAAAGTCCAACACGAGATCGAACTAGGGTTTTGGCGGAGATCGAAGACGAAGCTCCAGCACGAGACCGAACTTGGGTTGAGATCGAAGACGAAGCTCCAGCACGAGATTGAAGATGAGCTCGAAAGTCCAGCACGAGGTTGAAGAAGAGCTCGAAACGCCAGCACGAGATCGAAGCGACGAAGACGATTTTTGATTTTTTTCCTTTTGCTGGCGGCGTCGGTGAAACCGTAAGAGATTTAGGGATAGATTTTTTTACTTTTGAGTTTGGGTTTTGGGTTTCGGGTTTTGTTTTTGGGTTCGGGTTCTTGGGAGCGCCCAGCGCTTTTTTTGGGCTGGAATTTTGAAGCGGCCCGTGTAATCGGCCCGTTTAGCCCTGGGCGGCCGCCTAGGCGCTCAGCGCCTAAAATCGCGGCCGCCCAGGGCATTTTGGAACGCTCTGGGCACCGCCTCCGCCTAGGCGGGCGCCTAGGCGGCCGCCCAGAGCGTGTTTTACAACACTGGTCAGATCTATACCATAACAAAATGGGATCGCGGAGAGGCTGAACCGAACATTACGGGAGAAAACAATGAGTATGCGATCTTATGCTGGATTGGGCAAGGAATGGTGGGCAGAAACGATGGCTATAGCTTGTTATATTGTGAATCATTCTTCACATTCTTCATTGGATGGTGATACCCTATAGGGTGTGGTCAGGGGAACATACAGATTATGCGAGGTTCCAGATTTTTATGTGTACCGCCTATTATCACGTCAACGAGGAAAAGCTCGATGTGAGGGCTAAGAAGGCTATATTCTTGGGATATACAAAAAGTGTAAAATGCTATCATCTTTGGTGTACAGAATATTCAAAGTTCGTGATCAGCAGGGATGTTACATTTGATGAGAAATTCATGATTGCTAAGGCGTCCAAGGATAATAGTGTTGGGACTGTTAGAATTTCAAAGTCCCAGGTTATTAAGATAGAACCTAAAGACTAATCAGGTTTTAGTTATGTTCAAATGGGAAATCAGGTAGATGATGAACTTAAGCAGGAGGAGGTTCAGCGTGAGAATACACAAGCACTACAACAACAACAGCTCGAGGATAGTTTGGCTTTCGCTAGGCCAAGGCGAGCATACAAGTAAGTACTGAAGCTGGGGACTGATCAACCCCTGAAGCACTATGTGCAGGTTAATTTGGTGGAATACGCACTCTCGGTGGAGGATGATGAGCCGGTCTCCTTCAAGGATGCTATTCGGGATAGAGATAGTGAGAGTTGGTTGGCTGCAATGGAGGAAGAGATTGAATCTCTTCGGAAGAACCAAACATGGGAGGTGGTCCTATTGTACGTAGGAAGAAAAACTGTTGGTTGTAAGTGAGTGTATAAAAGAAAGGAAGATCCTTCAGAGCTCGATCGTACAAGGTACAAGACGAGGCTAGTGGCTAAAGGGTTTGCACAAAAAGGATGTGGATTACAATGAGATCTTTTCTTCGATGGTGAAACACACTTCTATTCGGGTGCTATTGAGTATTGTTGCTCATAGTGATCTTGAGCTGGAACAACTCGATGTAAAGACGACCTTTTTGTACGGAAACTTGGATGAAGAGATTTATATGCATCAACCTGAGGCTACAAGGTTGAGGATAAGAAGTATCATGTATGTCGCTTGAGGAAGTCACTCTCTGGATTGAAGTAATCTCCCCGGCAGTGGTACAAGCGATTTGACTCCCTCATGCTAAAGTATGGATTTTCCCGAAGCGATTATGATTGTTGTGTTTACATTCGAAAGCTTCGTGGAGGTGATTATATCTATTTTTTTGTATGTGGATGACATGTTTATTGCTTCGAAGAGCAGGATGGAGATAAATAGATTAAAATCTTAACTTGATAAAGAGTTCGAGATGAATGACATGAACTCTGCTAGAAAATACTAGGTATGGAGATTAGAAGAGGGCGGACGAATAGGCGATTGTTCTTGAGTCAGAAGGGCTACATAGAGCAGGTGATCGTGAGGTTCGGGATGCAAAATGTAAAGTCGGTGGTGACTCCATTGGTTCTACATTTTAGGTTTTCAGGTAAACAATCTCCCACTACAACGGAAGATAAGGCACACATGAAGCATGTTTCTTATGCTAGTACAATTAACAATTTAATGTACGTCATGGTGTGTACACGTTCGGATATTTCACAAGTGGTCAATGTGGTCAGCAGATTCATGGCCAATTCGGGAAAGACGTACTGGGAAGCGGTGAAATATGTCTTGAGGTACTTAAAAGGTACAGCGGATACGGGTTTGTGCTTTGGTAGAGATACATGTCATATTGACGGGTTTGTGGACTCAGATTATGCGAACGATCTAGACAGACGGCGATCTACTACTGGTTATAGAATACATGACGTTCCAGTTAGTTGGCGATCGATGTTGCAAGCTACAGTTGCACTTTCTACTACAGAGACCGAGTACATGACCATGACGGAGGGAGTGAATAAAGCATTGTGGTTGTGGGGTCTTCTAGATAATTTGGGAATTGAGCAGGAGAGCGTGAACTTGTGGTGCGACAGTCAAAGTGCGATTCATTTGGTTAAGAATTAAGTTCACCATGATCGTACCAAGCATATCGACGTCAGATATCATTTTGTGCGGGATGTTATAGAGGAATGTGATATTTCTCTCATGAAGGTGCACACGAATGAGAATCCCGCAGACATGTTAATCAAGATGGTGACAGACAACAAGTTCCAGCATTACTTGGACTTGCTTCATATCAGCCCGTGTTGATCTGCCTAAGAGGGCATGGCCTTTCGGGGCGGTGATGGGGTGAGGTGGAGACTATGTTGGAGAATAGTTACAGAACTACGATTAGTTTGATCCCGGTGGAGGGTACATAGGTAGTCGCGGTATAGTGGTACAGTTGGTTTGGTCTGGTTTGGTGTTTCAGATCTCTCTGATGATGTTCGTGGTGTTCTTATGGTGTTCGTCCAAAATTTAAGGTTTATCAAATGATGTACGAGGTGAAGAATTGTGAAACCCCTCCCCAAAACATGGAGCATGTCTCCATGTTTCAAGGGGGGATATGGAACATGTTTCGGGGGATGTTGTCTCTCTTTTCTCACTATAAATAGAGTGGAGGAGGAAGAGAGATTTGTGGTGTGGAGGAAAAAATAGTGAGTGAGAAGTAAAAGAAAAGAGAGAACTTGTGAGTTGTACAAGTTTGGTATTCTCCTCATAGTGAAACCCCCTCTCGTGGACGTAGGCAAGTTTGCCGAACCACGTAAATTTCGTGTCTTAACTGTGAGTTGGTTTTGTGCTTGTAGGTTTCCTCGACAAGTCAGTCCTAGAACTGATGAGAGGTTGAAGCTGGAACAAGAGTTGACTACTGCTTGTAGGTTCCCTCGACAAGTCAGTCCTAGAACTGATGAGAGGAAGAGTGTCTACCTCACTTTGTTAAGATATTTCACTTTCTGTTATTGTTTGCTTTGTGAAACAGGAATATAGAGGTTGACTTGAGCTTTTGTGACAACAAAAGCCAGTGCTCTCTCTCGGGTGATATCGCTTCCGCGGCATGAGGGCGTGACTCTGCGCCCAACATCAGCGTCAGTGCTATCTACATGATGATAATGAAACAACCACACGCTTTTGAGTGTTCATGATTATTTGATCATAAGATCTTGAAGATTTATAGGGAAATAAGATTCACTGAGCAATTATGTCTGAGATGACATAGGTTTTCTCAGACATTTTTTTCAATTAGAAGTCATGCATGCATCTTATGATTCTTATGGAGCACATGAATGGTAGAACATTTATATATCCGTTGAAAGTGCGATAAAATTATAAGAAGTTCATGATGCCTCTCTTTCAGGTATACCACAGATGGCGGCACTAAAGATACACTTGACAAGGGTACCATTCCTGGTGAAGGCGTATATGCAGGTAATCGAACTTGAGAGTTGCGGATATTTTGATAAGGACTTACTAATTTTGCATAACAATCTTCGATGTTCTATCCAAAATTTTACCGCTCTACTTAGTGATTACACCAGTCTACTGAAATTCGAGTAGAAATTCTTGAGAAAATGACAATTCTGCGAAATTGTGGACCATAGAGTAGTGAAGTATATATTTTTATAATCAAAACACATTGGCTTCTCATGATTTTGAGGATTGTCTGTAGCTGTTGATTTTTCAACTGGTGAAGATCCCTGGCCTATATTTGAGTTGCAGAAGAAGTATAATGCACCTGGAAAATCACCTCCTCTATCAGCGTTAGCATACCTGTCCCTTTCTTCTGACTACAAACTATCCAAACAATACCTAACAACTTGCTCATTCTCCAGAGAATTTTATACAGGATGGCTTACACATTGGGGAGAAAAGAATGCAGAGACTAATGCTGATACTACAGCTGCTGCCCTACAGAAGATCCTGTCTAGAAATGGTTCTGCAGTGCTCTATGTATGTTTCCTACATTTTCCCAAACACCGTGATAGGTTCTTTTACAGTTAATTTGTTCATTAACATACCCTTTCAGATCTTCAGATGGCTCATGGTGGAACTAATTTTGGATTTTCCAGTGGTGCAAATACTGGTGATGATGATTCTGATTACAAACCTGACCTTACTTCGTATGATTATGTGAGCAATCACACACATCTTATCCTGGTTTTCTGAATTTGGCTTTTGATTAATTTCATCAACCAAACTCTGTTCTTCAGGATGCACCAATTAGAGAGTTCGGCGGTGTGGACAATCCAAAATTTAAAGGCATGTTCCACTGACTTCTATTTCTTCTTTCTTTATTGTTAGGCATGTTCCTTCATGTTCCAAGGTCCATCTTAGTTTTCTTCTTCCTCTGTACTTACAAAATTGAAATGCATTTCTTCAGTATTGTTGGATCACTATGCTACTAGTAATATATTGAACATCAAACAATGCCCCAAAATAAGGATGGTAAGGAAGAAATATCATTGATGCCAGTTTATTGAAGGCTTAATACCTATGGTTGTTTATTTTAGTAAATGGTTTGAAAGGAGGTTTTGTATAGAGGTGGAGAGAGAGTAATGAAAAGTTCTTTACAAGTGAAAGGAGAATGGATTTCCGATGAACTAGCTATGAGATAACAGATTTTTAGATGAAAGAATACTTCTTTTTTTACAACCCCATTTGTTGCTTGCATTTCTACTATCTGAAGGCTATGGTTGACCACCATGTCATCAGAACTGCTTCATGTTTATACTGTTTTTTTATTAAGTACCAGGCCACTTTTTTAATTTCTAAAAAATCTGGCATTTCAGCGTTGAGACGTGTGATTGAGAAATACAGTGATGCAACTCTTCCTCAGATTCCTTCCGAAAATGATAGAACAGACTATGGGCTCGTTGAAGTCAAAAAAACTACTTCGTTGTTTGGTGTCCTTGATGTTTTATGTGATCCTGTGGATGTGGTTCAATCTGAAGAGCCCATGACAATGGAGTCAATTGGCCAGGTGTATAGATTTATACATAAACTACTGTTAACATCAGTTGGCATACTCATGCTTTTTTAATCCAAGTATCTACTCTTGTATTTCAGATGTTTGGGTTTTTGTTATATGTATCAGAGTATAGTGGAATATCCACGGGTAGCATTCTCTCTATCCCAAAGGTTTGATCTTTCTTCTATATCTAGATGTCTTAGTCCAAGTATCTTTCTCTTCAATGCAATCTACAAATGACATACTTAAGCAACGAATACTAAGTTTCTTTTATATGCACCCTTGATATCTTCAGGTTCATGATAGAGCACAAGTATTTGTCTCATGTGCATCAGAAGACGGAGAAAGTCCAAGATATGTAGGTAGCATAGAGAGATGGTCAAACAGGGCACTTGTGATTCCTAACATCAAGTGTTCGTCGAATATCAGCTTACATATTCTGGTAATTAATTTTGGTTCCAGTACTAGATTTTATCATACTTTGTTTTGCGAATATGATAACTGACAATCACTTTATGAAACACCATTAGCTATGTTTTTATATATTCTCATATGTTTAGTTCTTTAGTATTGTTAAAAAGAATGGGATCTAAGTCACATGGGTACGGATGCAGGTACCGCCACTGGGTACGACAAATTTCTAAATGGCAAGGTACAGGGTCACGGCTATGAAATAGACCTATAAATTAGAAATTTTCTCATTTTTAACTTGATATCCAAAAGACCCTATATAATCATAGTTTTGAAGCAGGTATGGGCTGAAATGAACCCAAAAAAATTGCGTTTGAAGTATAGGATATACGTCCAAGAGGTGTATGACGAGTACACATTTGCATAAGTGCATACAAATATCCAAGGAGTTTCCACTGAAGTTTCGGTGTTGGGTATGGGTACAGCTTTGCCTAGAAGCAACCATGCAACATAGAATGAGATCTATAATAAATGTGTGTGCCACAACTATTTTGTGGAATTTGATATTAATGCTTCAACATCTTTTTAAAGATCAATTACGAAAGAGTCATTGCATCTTAAATAAGCTTCCATCATCAATGTATTTCCATTACTATGTGGTGATTTTCAACATGACTAGCAGTTAGTAGGCTGGATACTATATTTGCTAGGCTGTAAACCCACTGTTTATTATCAGTTGTTAGCATCACATCCATTGTTTTGATCTGAATAACCAAGATGCAGCCTTTAATATATGTTTTAGATAAGTGTTAAAGTTATTCAGGAAACAAAATACAGAAGCACTTCTTCTAGTCATTCTCTTTCAGCGACTTTGTCCACTATTCATTCTGTTTCCTTTGTTTTCCTTCAGTGATGTCCTTTTCACTTTCACCACTTTATGCATTTTGGGGATCCTTCTCTACTTCATATGATTCAAGTTTCTTCCCTTCGTATTCATACATTAGAAAAAATTCTTCTTATATTCCGTTACGTCTGGGTGGAAGTAGCAGCAAAACTGTTGAATGCATGCATGCCATTGTTTAAATGAAAATAATGTACATGTGACTCATAAAGTTGCAATACTCAGTTGACTATCTCAAATTGTTTCTAGGTAGTTTGTTTGTTTTCTTTTCCTTCTAATTTTCATCTTATTTAACTTCAGCGTTTGTTATCTCTATCTCAGGTGGAAAACATGGGTCATATCAATTATGGGCAATACATGTATGATAAGAAGGTAATTTCAGTAGTAAAGGACCCAAGTGATTTGCTTACATTTTTTCTATGCTTTAAAATCCATGTTTCAATGCAATTTTATTTTGTTTGTATACGTGGAAATCAATTTTTGAGTTGAATCCTTATTTTGGAAGGGATTTGGAACTAGCAATGATCAAGGACAGCGATGATATGGCTGTTAGTGTTTGGTGAAAATTATATATGGCGAATATGATCTGTAAATTTTAATTAACAGCAAGCTTATGGCACAAGTGAATTGTCAGCGAGATTAAATAATAATTTATAAATACTGTTAGTAGATTGCTCTATGCCTAATGGGTAATGAATGCTGTATAATGCTATCTCATATTTGTGGGAAATATCAATTAATTTTTTCTGTAATATTTCTGTATACCTCTATATCATGATACTGATGACCAACCTCTACTTGAATTTAGGGAATACTGTCTTCTGTTACAGTAGATGGTATTATTCTCAGACTGTGGAAGATGTATCCAATTACTGTTAACAATTTGAACAATCTTTTTAAAGACAACCCAATCATGCAAGTTGCAGATTCTGGGAATGATGAGAGATCTACCCACCATATTTTAAAAGGTCAGTCTCGTTGTTTCCACTTTTGAATGTGTACTGAATTCAGAGTGGTTTGGACACCTATATGTTATTACTAGTTTCTAGTAGACTACCTCCCCCAGTTTTATTTGATGGAGCTATCAACCAGCCAAGTGATGAAACGAAGGCTGGAGTAAATAGTTAATATTGTATTCATGTTTGTGCTTGTACACACCTATTTACGTCCTAAATTGCATTACATAAGCATTATTGTACGCTTTTGATGATAATGGAGCATCATGTGCATGTGACAGATAACATTTCACCAGAGCCAAGATTTTATGAAGGCCGCCTTTTTATTGATTCAGAAGACCAAATTAAAGATACATTCATATCATTTCACGGTTGGAATAAAGGGGTTGCTTTTGTGAACAACTTCAATATCGGAAGATTTTGGCCGGTATGATCGTTGTTATTCTTTGGGGATTTAAATATGAAATTTATTCTGTGCTTCATACGTTGTATTATGTTTTTCTCCATCCCATCCTTATAAAAATTTGCGGAACATATGCAGACAGTCGGGCCCCAGTGCAATCTTTATGTTCCTGCACCAATCCTTCGACTTGGGGAAAATGTCGTGGTGAGCACAGCTTTTCCGTTCCTTTTTTGCCATGAAGAAGATATTTTCATTTGAGATTAATAACTGCGTTATTGGTGGTACCTAGTATCTAGCTCTTGCATATATCAAGCTTAAAGATGAATATCCTTCTTCGCCTAGATGTTAATGTTGTCTGCTCATTATTTTCTTCTTTATTTTGATACATTGCTCAATAAATCCTTTGCTGATGAGAGTACCAACAGTATTAATGTTTAGCAGAGTTGTGGGTTAGGGAGAGATTTTCCCTGATCGAGGGCATAAAAACCTCTTGGATATACAATTAACATTGCATTAACTTTTAATCGTCATCTTTTCGCAGGTTATTCTAGAGCTACATGCTCCTAAGCCAGACCTCACAATCAGTTTTGTCAAGGATCCAGATTTCACGTGTGGATCCTCGTAGTGTAGAGAATACAATAAGGGGTGTTCTGTGTAAGCGGAAAGAAAATAAGTGAATCCCAAAATTGAGCCGCAGTAATTACTCATCCACTGGGAAAAGCTGTGAAGGTCAGTACCTGGCAAGAAATAGTGGTCGATAATTGCTTAAATTACACATCCACTGCAAAAGATTGGAATATTGCGGCCCCAAAAGTTGCATTATTACTGTTTAGAGTTGATAGTGAGAATGAGCTTCCGTAGTTTAGTTCAGCAATTCTTGCTAATAATTCGGCTCATTACAACCTTTGGCATATGTTACTTTCAAGTTTACACTGTTTATACCTGGAAGAAGATTGAACGTATGATTCATCCACTGTAGAGCCTTGCTATTTTATGATTTGCTCTTGTTTCGTCAATATAAGCGTTATCATTCTACGTTGAACTTTACATCTTAGATTTCGCCTTGTCTCAGTTATGTGTGTAACAATTTTGCTGCTTATGCCGTGCTTCTTCAATCCTCACTGGAGGAGACAAACCCAGATAGCCGTTCTGTAAACGAGAAGTTATAAACAATCCACGTTTTTTGTTTTTTGTTTTTTTTTTCATTTTTTTTGCCCCCTATCCACAAAGTACAAGCAGCTCTGTTCCATGTGGACCTCAATCCCATCCAACCAGGTAAATTGGTAAATTAAATACCCCTTTTTCTTTTTTTCTTTTTCCACTTTATAGCTGTTTTTTACAATGTAATTCTTGAAGACTTCATCGAAAATACATAACTTTACATAGGGCTTCCTTTTACATGCTGACAACAAGGGACACAGTTAATACTCAAAAAGCAAAGTGACATTTGGAAAGCATAATTGACAATAATCGGCAGCCTGTGATGCTTCTTCAGCCTCATGAGATGCTTCTTCAGCCTCATGAGCGCCGCTAGATTACTCAAAAGTGCGTTACCCATGACCAAAATTCCCGTCTTATTAGCTTAAAGACTCAATTGATGGACAAGTGAGCTTGTGCAATCTGCGAAAGGTCGAACCAAAAAAGGATTTTATACCCAAGCTCTCCATCGGAGTGAGAAATCATATATGATGACTCAATAAAGTCCACAGCATCAAGCTATAAGCACCTGGCTGGATACATACCCTTTTATACATCTTTCTTTGAGTTATGAAGCTGTTTTCTTTCTAGAGTAAACCACATACATTGGGTCTGAGCGCCCAGGATTGGGAGATATGTCCACAGCCTGCGAATATAGACAGGGGGAAAAACATGAGCCATTCACCCATCAACTAAGTGACTTATTGGTGAAAAGTGCAATTAACTTGACCCCTCGGACCTTAAGAAATTTTACTTGCCTGATTTAAAGGGCATTTCGGATAGAAAAAGTAAAAGTAAACACACACCTCAGGCGGTTCAAAACCTCCAGCATAATGAAAGTAAGCCCCAACAATCCATGCATGATCAGCATCACCAGTTGATGTCCAGATAGAGATAGCTTTTGTCCAAAAGCACCGATTTGAGAAACTATTTGCAATCACGTACATAAAATCAACAATTATATCCATTATAAAGGAAGCACACTGTGACTTCTTTAACAGTGGTAAATACATGAAACTAGAAGAAGTCCAGATTTGATACAGGATTTAATTATTGAATTAAACAACAGGCGTAAATAGAGAAAAAGTCACTAAAACTGCAAAAGGAAGGTAAGCATATTACCTCATTATTGCTAGACCCCCTGGTTTCAGTATTCTTTGCATCTCCTTGAAAACATCAAGTGGTTTGGTCAAGTAATCAACACTAACCTGCAACAATAACAAGCAGAAAGAACATCAATATATAATTGAGTTGATAATAGCAAACTGCATAATATTCTAATCACTAAACAGGAAATGTTGTGTTCATTTGGTTTGCAAACTTTTAGGATTTGGATTCGCAATGAACACTGTTAGATTATAGAAGGCTCGTCTACCCAAAAATGAGTCATCTTCCTGCCATACTTTCACTACAATACTGCAATATTATTAGACTTTTTCACTGCCATAGCACCTTTTTAGTTAGATGAAGAAAGAACTTCCTAAAGGAGAAGATAAACTTCTGAATTCTAGAATTGCTAACAGCACTTTAAAAAGTAAAACTATAATGCTTCAAAGACATATTACCTGTTCAAATGATGACATCAATTTGTGAACCTAACGAAATGTATTATCATTCTGTAATAGAGATAAGTTCTTCAATAAATATATTCCTTTTTGGGTATCCGTTTGACCTTCAAATATAGCGAGCCTCATAACAGCCTAACAGGGTTAAAAATAACAACATGCAATGTCAATGCAAGATGTAACCTAGTATCATAATCTAAGTTAGACGAATATATGGAAAGATGATATAGATAAATAGATGAGATAGTAAAGAATAATCAAATAATATATACAAAGAAGAGGCCCCCCTTCAAAGAAGAAAACCACCTTTAAAATAGGCCAAATCCGTTGAAATCACGTTTAAACTTTTTTTAAATATAGAAACAACCTTATAAGTGCGTTTAACTTTCAGTCAACCACTTGAGGCCAATTTCTATTCAATACTTTGATCTTTACCTGAATTACCCAAAGTACCCTCCTCCCTTCTCCTTCCTCATCCACTGGCGTCCGCCCTCCTCCTCCTTGTCACACCTCCGTTCTCCTCCTACTCAACCCATGCTCCTCCTTCCTTCATCTACCCTCCTCTCTCCTTCTCCGCCGCATCTCCTCCATTCTCCTCCCTCTTTCATTCCACTTTCACCTTCCTTCCTCTTCCATCTCACTTCACCCTCTTCCCCCTCCTCCCACATCTCGACCATGGTTTTCACGGAGGACAAAAGCGGAGGTAGGATGGATGGAGTGGCGGATCCATAGTGAGGGCAGTGGGGTCAGGGTTAAAAGGCCCCCGCTGACCCAAGTGACACATAGCTATAATATTCTACTATCACTTTATGTATTACATCTCTACTTCTTTCACTTATACTTTCTATAGAAACAAGATGGAGTGCACTTTTCTAGAGAGATGTAATGCTAAACAAACTTGTTAAACACACACTGTTTTTTCATCTATACTGAACCCACTTCAATCTAGATATCCCCCATGTAATTTGTAAATCTTTAAATAAGTATGATAATATCAACTCAATCGTTACTTTTTTCGTAAAGTCATTGGGCTCAAGAGAGCTAAACTCTCTCGACATTCTACAGAAAATTCCTATTTATATATCTTCAAATTATTAGTTGTTTCTCATTCTACTACTATAACGGATAGTTACATCACTTCTTTTCTAAAATTCATTCAAATTGGATTGGTTTATATGTATTTAAAAGTCTACAGTAATATATATACTCTAATTGCACACACAATTATGTAAATTATTTTGTCAAATATTTTAAAAAATATAACTTAACCTTTATTTTTATATGGAAATCATGGTTAAAATATATTTTTATTACTTATTTTATAATTTTGAGCATTTACAATATTAAGCCCCTATATCAATTTTCCTACACGCTTTTGCCCCATTGACGCCCCGATATTTTAAGAAATACACCCATAATTGGTATTGATGTTCTTAATATTTAGATAAAGATACCACATACTAGTCATACTTGTAGCCTTGCCCCCAGCGACCAAAGTTATTGGATCCACCCCTGGATGGATGAGGGGGAGGGTGGAGGTGAGATGGGAGGCAGTTGAGGTGGGTGACAAGGATATTTTCAGTAGTCAGGGTAAAAATTCAAATACAAATAGCCTAGGAGCAGTTGATTGAAAGCCGAACTCACTGGTAAGGTGATTTCTGTATTAAAACAAAAACTTAAAATGCGGTTTCCCTCGATTTGGCCTACTTTAAAGTTGGGTTTCATAAAAAAAAACCCTGCAAAGAATGATGCTAACAAGGAAAAATACTCACAGCTTACCACGTTGGTTATAACATCAAAAGAATGATCATCAAATGGGAGTTTGGGGTTCACATTTAGATCTTGAACAATATACTCTGTCAAAACCTGAAAATTTCATTTAACAGAATGTAAGATGTAAATAACGGAGTACGCAAATCAATTGCGTGACGTGCTCTTCAGGGGTGACAGCAACATAGCAACTATCTTGAATACAATTAGTCTTTTTGCAAATAGAGCAACATGTATGAATACAATATTTTAGTTACAGTGTAATTAGCAAAATCAAGGAGAACGAGTTGTGCATATAGTACCGGATTTCGCTTAAGCTCTTCCTCGTTCAAACCCATGCCTACAACTCTATCTTGCCGGTACCCTGGTGGATAATGACTGATCTGTATAGAAAATAGAAGATTAGAAGGTATAAACCAAAAAGCATTGGACGTATAATGAAGGGAACTCATGAAGTAGCACAAAAATGGCTTACCCAGCTACTACACATATCTAACAAACTCACGCCTGGAGTATTACTTGGAGGGAAAACTTTTGAGTAGTATTTGGTGAGAGCAGCAATTGCAGGATCATCGATGTGTGTAACAAAACGCGGTTCTGAATAGAACATTGTATCTGCTGATCTGCCAAACAATGAAACTTAATTGTCTGTGAATATTGTTTAAACATCTTAATCCCAGCAGCAGTATTGTAAAGAAAAGACTATCTAGAATTTGAACTCAGAAGTGCTGAAAAAGCAAATCAATTGTAGGAGGACTATCAATATCTTGGTTCTTGAACCCTCAGGTAAGTCAATGTCACTATGTGAATATAAACCTCAACTTAACAAACTTTACAACATTTTGATATTTCTTCATTGGATTCTTCTAGTAGCCATGTTCATACTACAAGAGCATGCTTAATTGCACTTAAATACCCCATAGTTTCCCCAATGTTGCACTTATGTACTCTCATTTGTTTTTGACAGCACTTTATATACCCTAAAGTTTTTAGAACTTTCACTTATACACCTCAACAAATTTTACAACATTTTGACATTTCTTCATTGGATTCTTTTAGTAGCCATTTTCATACTACAAGAACATGCTTAATTGCACTTAAATACCCTATGGTTTCCCCAATGTTGCACTTATATACTCTCACTTATATTTGGCAGCACTTAAATACCCTAAAGTTTTTAGAATTTTCACTTATATACCCTCATTTGTTTCTGGCAACACTTATATACGCTAAAGGTTTTAAAACCTACACTTAATTATCTTGAAGTTTTTAAAACTTGCACTTGTGTTCTTAGAGTTTTTAAAACTCGCGCTTAAATACCCTCAAGTTTGCATAATTGAGTGTATGTGAGTGCAAGTTTCAAAACCTTCAGGATATTTTAAGTGCAAGTTTTAAAAACATTAGGGCATACAAGTTCTAGCAAAACGAGTGAGGGTATACAAGTGCAAGTTTCAAAAACTTTAGGGTATATAAGTGCTGCCAAAAACTGCCAAAAACTGCCAAAAACAAGTTATGGTATATAAGTACAAAGTGGCGAAACTATAGGGTAGGTAAGTGCAATGAAGCCGCAAGAACATAATGCCGAAGGAATAAACTTCAACAAGTCTTTTTTTAGGTTTGTTACCTATATAACCCCAAAATCCACCATATCTGTAAACTTGCCCCCAATTCTGGATAGTTGCTAATTTACCCTCCAACTTTACCGCATTGAGTTAAATATGCCCCAAATTGGAAATAATTGCTAATTTACCCTCACTCTACCATATTGAATTTATATACCCCCAAATTATGTCATGGAATATTTGTAGAAAATTCCTATTCATTCTGCAAGTTGTTGAGCTGAAATTTCTCTGTTTACCAACGACATTTAATTTTGGGACTTCTTCTTCTTCATCTTTGAAGAAAATCTGATGATCTATTAAAATCGAGATGAATCAAGAGAGAAAATTAACCATAGCTGAAAAAGAAAAGGTTCATACTCATCAAATCTGGTAAAGTCCTCATCTTTGAACGGAAATTTCTCCGGCCATTCCACATTCTTCAACACCTAAACCCCGGGGGCAAAAAAACCTTCACTAAAACAAAACCCTAGAAAATTCAAAGTCCGTATCTTGACTAACAAAGAAGCCAACTTTACCTTTTCAACCGCGGAAACAAGCGGACGGGCCGAGGCGGATAACTGTTGCG